TCACAAGATCAGACGTTGGGTTCTATAAGTGCCCGACTTCAAGAAATCGAAGCAACATTTTACGGATGTGTCGGAAAGCATGTTTAGACCAGATCACAAGGGATGATTCAACGTCGGAAGCGTTGCTCCGTGGAGTCTTGATACACAGAAAGTCGATCTGGTAACCTCCGTGGCTCAGACTCTCAAGATGGCCAAGTCTGAAGTGGATAGACAGCTAAAATCGACACCCTGTTCAAAATCGGGAAAACGTTCGGGTTACAGTCGTAATCTCAGTTGTTCGTGTAGAAGCGGCGGGATGTCATGTCAACGTCAAAAATGGCACTAACGAGGAACTGTTCGTTTGTTCGAGGTTCACAGACGAAGGACACGTCTCAGAACTAGAAGGTCTTATCCACCTGGACATTTTTCAGCAAAATCGTTTCGTTTTGAATGGAATGGCCCTTACCCTGAAATTTAAGCCAGTTGCAATGCATTCCAGCTTCCTGGCTTCAATACAATACATATCATCGATGTCTCGTTCAAATTGTGCGTACATAAACTGAATGCAGGAGTGTTGATGGCCCATGCCAAGTTAATTGGAGAAGCAACAGCGATGTCAAGATCGAATCCATCTCACAAGGAGGGTACAGCTCAAACCAGAACAATATGTTTAACGTGATATCCCGTCACAATTGATCGTGGGATTCGTTAGCTAGCAGGCTTCAAAGGAGTTTATTAGAGATCGCCGTTCGTTTTCCAGATGTTCGATTGTAATTTCGTGTCATGTTTTGTTTACAAGAATTACTTTATAAAAATAAATTATTCGAAATAAAACAGCTTTCTGGGCATTCGCAAATCACTACACGTTTTACGCCTCCTTAATATGTTCCCTGAATTGTAAATCTTTCTTTCCAAACCTAGATCATTAGTTTCTGACCATTAAGTAAGAAAAGTATTCCTGCTTTGACTTTATAAAATTTAAAACCGTTACTTCTCATGTATGCGCCTTTCAAGTCTGTATCCTTGTTAACCAATACTTACCCAGTAAAGCCAATACTTGCAATGTTCCCCAATTCGGGTTTTTGTTGTCAGAATCTTGGTCATCCAAACTTACCCTTGACCTCTTCCACGTTCAAAATGTTATTAAAACATTCCAGTTAGGAGATCCTTCCATTTAAACTCTAAACAATTTTATTCATGGACTTCCTCTCCCAACACGGATTCCCTAGTAAATTTATCAACCTCCTCCTCAAACATAGATGTACTTTATATTTTTATTTTGATGCCATTCTTTCATTAATTAGGTCCTTTTTATGCCATATTTTAATTATGTTGTTAATTTTTTTTCAATTTTGGTTTCGTGGTAAAAAAAAAATAACTTAAAAAAAAACGAAAATCAAATTATAGTTTTTACTTTCATAATCTACACTTTCTTACTACGTACTTTTGTATCATTCTTCATGTGGACAATCTTAAAGTATGGCCAGCTGGCAACGGTTACACAAATATATGATGGATTACGCCACATACTGGGTACACCCCACCCTATGTTACAAACACGTATATCATGTATATGTCTAGGTTGTTTTTGCAATTGGTCATTCCTACCTCTACCTCTGGTCTCAGGACCACGTGAATAATCGCTCGGTTTGGCCAGCCAGCAATTGTAAAATTGGACTACGTGACGTATTTAATACCCACAATTATATGCTGACAAACTGGTAAGGAACTGGACTATAAGTGCAATGGGCCATTTATTAAAGGCTAAGTTTACCTCTATTTCTGGTGCAATGGCCACCGTGGAGAATATCTTAGCTAAGCCAGCCGGCAATGGTTAAGTTGGTCTACGTAACACACCGTGGTACCCCCCTTCGTATGCTGATCAATTTCTGAGGGTCAATGGCACAAGTGCTGTGGGCCCTATTTAACGGCAATGTTTACCTCTATCTCTAGTACTATGGGACACATGGCTATTCTCTTAGTTTGACCAGCCGGAAATAGTTAAGTTGGTCTAAGTAACATACCGGGATACCCCAATCGTATGCTGATAAACTCGTACAAATCTAGCGCATAAGTGTGATGAGCTATTTTAAACACCATGTTTACCTCTACCTCTGGTACTATGAACCATGTGGAGAATCTCTTAGTTATCCTAGTCCACTTAAAGGATACTTTCAATTCCAAGAAATCCGGAACTCACAACAGGTACATTAAAAACATATCATAAAAAGGCGTCAAATGTAATTAAAAACGAATAAGGAACAAATAAGTAAAGGGGTATAAGTCGAGCGCAAAAACTAGTACATATACGTTATCATGGTTATTGCAAATCCATAAACCCAGAACAAACACCAGAGCTAAATAAAGGGAAAAAATGAAATTATTTAAAAGGTGCAAAGTATTAAATACAAATAAGGAACAAAGAGGTAGCGAATAAGTAACAAGGTATCAGTCGAACGCAGAAACGGATACATACGTGCTAGGATAATTTCAACTATACAAACCAGGAACAAAAACAAGAAAGAAGAAAAGAAAAGGAAAGGAAAGACAAAATTAAAAAGATGCAACGTATATAAATGGAATAAGGAACAAATAAAAACTGAATAAGTAATAGCATGAATAGGGTAAAGTCGAACGCATTGACGGGTGCATACGCACTTGCAAGATAATTTCACCACCCCGAACCAACAACTAACACAGGAGACAAAAAAAAAAAGAAAAGGAAAGAAAAAATAAATAAGTTCAACCTAAAAAATCGAATGTGCAACGAATAAGTAACAGAGTATCGGTCGAGAACAGAAATGGGTACATACGCGCTTATAGGGTAATTTCACCTCCACCACCAAGATCTAACATAAGAGACATGGAAAGAAAAGAAAAAAAATCATTGAAAAGGTACAACGTATAAAACACGAATGAGCAACGAATAAGTAATAGGGTATCAGTCGAGCGCGGAAACGGGTACATACGCACATAAAGGATAATTTCATCTGTGGGAACCAAAAAAACTAACACCACAGACAAGAAAAATAAAACATGTAAAAGAAAAAAGAAAAACATCAAAAGATGCAATGTATAAAAAGCGAAAAGCGAATAAGGAACGTACAAGTAACAGGGTATCAGTCGTGCGTAAAAACGGGTACATACCAGTTAATACGGTAATTTCACCACTACTAACTAAGATCTAACGCCAGAGACAAATAAAATAAAATAGAATAAAACATTTAAAAAGGTTCAACGTAGAACAATCTAATAAGGAACAATTACGCAGCGAACAAGTAACAAGGTATCAGTCGAGCGCAGAAACGGGTACATACGCGCTTAAATGGCAAATGACCTCTACGAACCAAGAACTAAACACCAAAGACAAGAAAATAAAAAGAAAAAACCATTTAAAAGGAGCAACGAATAGAAAGCGAATAAGGAACAGATGAGTAAGAGGGTAGCAGTCAAGCGCAAAAACGAGTACGCATGCGTTTCAATGGCAATTTAACCTCTTAATACATCAGGGTATCAGTCGAGCGCGGAAACGGGTACATACTGTACGCCAAAAAGGTAATTTTACCACTACGAACTAAAAATTGACACCAGAGACAAGAAAATAAAAGATAATAAAGTATTAAAAAGGTTCTACGTAAAAAAATGAATAAGGAACAACACGTGGCGAATAAGTAACAGGGTATCAGTCGAGCGCAAAAACGTGTACATACACGCTAAAAGGGTAATTTTACTAATACAAATTAAGAACAAACACCAGAAAATAAATAAGAATAAAGCCTTTAAAAGGTTCAATGTATAAAAAGCGAAAAGAGAACAAAAACGTAGAAAATAAGAAACTGGGTATCGTTCGAGAGCGAAAAAAGAGTACATACTCGCTAGTAGGATAATTAGGCTTTTACCAACCAAGAACTGTCACCAGAGACAAGAAAAGAAATGAGAAGGAAGCATTTCAAATGATGACAAAATAGTAAAGTATCTATTAATATATGTAAACGCCATATAATGGAGCAGACGGAATGGTACTGATAAGAACAGGAAGTTCTTCATTAGAAAGTTGACAATCATTACGTTTGTTATAAATTTTCGTTTGAAGTCGTCTATCCGTTTCAATTTTGTTGAAACGATCAAGATATGAAAAATACTTGGATATATGAGATGCTCGCACTCTCTAATCATAAAATTTGGGTTATATTTGGTGACAGGAATTTAGGCAGCTGCGGATTAGGTTCTCAGACAGGACTATGTTGCTGCTGTTTTTATAAAAAAAAAATATTAAAAAAAATATATTTTTGGTATCGATCCTAACTTTTTAGAACTAAAAGTACTGCAATTGAAAAGGAATGAAGTCAAGAGTCTTTATTATTAATACTATAATTGTACTCTTTAAACTGTATATGTATATTTCATTTGTCAGGAAGAGTACTGTACTCAAAACAGTTAGTAGATCTCGTCATAGGTTTGAAAGTATTTGAAGGTTCCGCACTGAAAGAAATGTAGGAGCTTGCAATTGTCCTACGTTTAGAAAAATATCATCGTTTATAACGAATCAATTTCTATATGTATGTATTTATACAAGTGATATTAAGTTGATCCCTTGAGCTTAATTTCGTTTACAAAATATATCTTTCAATTAATATTACCACTAATTAATACTTTATAGATGTAAACAGTTAATCTATTTCCGAAAAAGCCCCTAAGATGAAGTTGACTTAAAGATTAGAAACCATTTTTTTGCGATCAATTCTAATTTCGGTTTAAGATCCGAAGATAAAACGCGCAACAAAAAACAGCCAAAGAATCGTTTTTCTTTTTCTATATATCTATGATCTGCTACCAAAACGTATACATCTTTGCCAAAATTACTCTGTAAATTGAAACTTACACATAATATATGAATCTATAAGAAGTTTGCTAAATTAATGAAATGTATTATTGTTGTAGCACCAAGGGTCATTTTTAATATTTATTGGTGCAATAAAATATCTGAAGTTGGTTATAAAAACAGACTTAAGTTTACTCACAAGGTAATTATAAACTATGTACTGATTGTCTGCCCAAAACTTCCTTCGTACAGGAGTTTTCTCGACCACCACTGACATAGGCTTAATAAGATTAGATTCAATGATTCCATGAACACGGTTCAAACTATAACTTCCAAGGTCTTCTACAATCAGCTCCGATACAGCAGATATCATTGTCTTAAATATGAATGTCAGAGAGCTGCAAAGATACGAAATACGTTTATTTATTGTAACATAATTTTCCAAATACCAGCAACTTTCAATTGAAATGTTGAAAAATATTCAAAACAAAAATTTCATATATGTTCCCAATATGGCTAATATGTCTGGTGCCAAGGGGTAAATGATGTATATATAAATCATATTTCGAAACTAACACAATGCTTTGTAATATAGATATTCAGTCAAATATATGTCCGGTCTCAAGATCTGTGTCCCAAATCAGTTGTTTTTTTCCAGCCACGATATTTGTGATCTTTCCTAAGGTCTGTGTCCCGTGGTTTCATAACAATGATTGTTTATACAAGTCAATGTCCTTTATCAAAAGTAGACAATTAGTTATGTTACGTGAATTTGGATAGGCAGGTATAGAATGCGATGGGGTCAACCCTGGCCTAATCGTGGACAATTTTGTAACAACGTTAACACGCATATAAGCAGAGTGTAAAAATCAGTTAGAAAGGACTGATAGATTCATTAGATCGGCACAAAAGTCACAGTTCATCTAACAAGAAACAAATAAAAAATGAATACACGATTCCATTTTACCGCCGTTTGCTTGGTCTTCCAGACTTCTTTAGTTATTTGATGAATCCTTCAAGAAAAGCGTTTATGGCTAATAGCCCGGTGACCAGAGTCAGAATTTTCATAATTTTATCGTCAAAACTACTACACCATAAAAACGGCTCATGAAAATGTGTACTTTAAACATTTATGTGGTCGTAAAAAGAAAATATGGTGCAGTTCTTTTTCAGAAATCAAGATCGAAGGTACTTACTATTTTCATGAGAAAAAAACATTGAATATTTTTCTTCCTTAATTACTTTTAAAAAAAAAATGGAAAACCATCAATTAATGAGTTGCCCTTGTAACCGTATTCGATTTTACAAAAAGAAGAGCGAAAAAAAATGTATTTAAAAAAAGATTAAAACAACGGACGTCGAAACTATAAAAATTGTATCGACAAATTTGAAAAAAAATATGTATTTGTTAATATAACTATATATTATTTCTCAATGAAAGCGGAAAATTTTAGGGTCGGGTGCATATAGGTTGAATTTGGGTCTTTCAGAACAGACTAATATTTGAGTTTAAACAATGTTAGGACCTTTTTCTAAATGTATCAATAGGAACATAAATCATTATAAACTGGACGTAAAGTTTTAAAAAGGCATTGTGATGACTAGAAACGCGTTTTATCCGTTTAAAAATTGTGAAAGTTTCGGTTGTTCAATCCCAAACTTAGTGACATAAGAAAAGAAAATTTCTTCAAAGCAGCATAATTTAACATAGTACTGAATAACCTAAAAACTTTACTTTAATAAGTAATTCAGACCTCAAAAGACTTCTGTATTGCTATTTCAAGTTTCTATTTGGCTGAGACATTTATATTCGTACATGCGAGGTTAAACTACATAAAATTAATGATGAATATCAAAATTGGTCCAAAGTATCACTATAGTGGTTAACTGTCAAGAAAATATTCTTAAACCACAAATCCTAATAATATTGCGATGATGAACGTTAAGCTTCGGACATTTGACTTGCTCTGCAATGGAATAGAGTGCTGGTCGAATGATTGTGCAAACATGTAGCGAGCTTTCTCCAGCATCATAGGACATTTCAAATCATTTCTAAATTGCAGAATACACTTTGGGCATATCAATATTAAATAATGGGGAAAATAAAACAATTGTAACACTGGGGCGATTCTAGGACTAACGACAAATGAACACTGTCCAGAAAGGAGTAGATTGTCCTGCTCTGAATATCCCGCAACAAAAGTCAAGAAGAAACCCATCTCTGATCGACAGCATACGCTTGCTTTGTTTACATGATTTTAAGTTTGTCAAAAATTTTCGATTGTCATGATTGATCTGCCTAACAGCATGGTATGTATTAATTGATTTGATATCTGAACTTTTGTTAGCATTGATATCGTGTACTTATGGTAAAATGTTTGTCCTATAAATTTGAATATGTAATTAATGAATACAGTTTGAATCCCCGTAAAGGTTACATTTTACCTGAATCTATTCTTTAGAGTCCAAATCCCTTGTCTTGCTTGAATGTAGCTTTTTTATAACAATGTATGCAGGCATATGAAAAATATAGATTGATTTACACTTTGTTATCCGTGTGTTTTCAAACAAAAACTGAGGGAATCACATGAACTTTAAAAAGATGAGTTCGGATGCGTCATCAGCATACGCGTCTTTTGCTATGCATGCATTACACGACTTGCAAATCACAATTAGTCAAATTGTCACAAATAGGAATCGGACACAAATGGTAAGTTTCCTACTTAGTAATAAAGTATCTTACAACACGAAAAGATGTTGTTAGTGAGTAGAGACACGGTAAAGCTTAAATGTAATTCAATACGTGGTGGTGACTTTTTACTTTGTACAAAAATAAGGAGACGTGGTGTGATTGCAGACAAATGTCCACCAAAGTTCAATAAAAGTGGACATGGTGGATGAAAGTTATTATAGGCAAATGTATTGCCTTCAACAATGAGAACAACGCATACCGTATAGTCGGCTATATAAGCCCCAACATGAAAAAAAAAATAACGATTCAATTGAGAAAAAGAACAGCCTATTTTATAACAAAACAATTTACGAAAACAAATATAAATTGTTTCTTTTTCAGTCGCCGGTTCTGCTAAATAACTGTGTACATATAAACGAACTCATATTTACAAGAGAAGAACACACAGGTACCTCATGTGGAGCAGAATAGAATCTGCTAACCGTTCCGTGACATATGAGATAACCCCAGCTTTTAATTAGATTTGTATTGGTCAGTCTTTAGTTTTCCATGTAGGGTTTTCAATACTTGTATTTGTCTTTACGTCGTTCTTCGACTTTTGCCCTGGCGTTGTGAGATTGTCTTCGAATATTGAGTTTGAATATTCTTTTGGTATATGCCGCCTTTTTTTAAGCAGTTTTGTGTCAGAAGTACATCCCTGTTCATGAATTCGGCACTGTGTCAAAATACACGAGCTTAAGTATCAATTGAGATACGCAAACGCCATACGATGGAGCAGAGAGTATGCTACTATTGAGAATTTGGACACGGATATTGGAAATCTAAAACCATCCTGTGACGTTTGTCATAGATATTTGTTTGAAGACGTCAATCTGTGTCAGTTTCAAAGAAAAAGTCAAGATATAAAGCAGTCATTCTAGATTCAGTAGTATCCTCACTGGGATATATGAAATGTTAGCACTGACTGAAATGTAGGTTATAAAGTGACAGGACATCTTGATATATCTAATCTTCAAATTGAAAAAAAAACTAGGCAAAATGGTTTTCTTCAAGTCTTTGAGAAGGTTCTGTATTTCCAATTGCAATTAGGACTGTAAACACCGCTATGTTATGTTGATTAATGCATCATTCGTATCAATAAACTATTTCAAAACTTTCCTTTGATATATCATCTCTGAATGAACCAAAGTCACAATCATCAATTTCAAGTTAATTTTATCATACTTTTATCAACTGTTTCAAAATACTGCGATCAACTGGATTAGGGCTAAATAAAACAACTGACCCACTTCTGCTTTTGAGAAAAGTAGGTTAATGTATGTTTCTTTCAAATGTTCAAGCCACATTTCAACGGACTTCCCTGTCTGTCCTCTTTTGGTACAGTGTCGGATCCAAATTTCCTAACTTTACAACTCAAAAACTTATCTGCCTCTTATATGAATAAAACTACACTACAAATTAGTAAAAGTCTGAAATGACCTATATCTGTACTCGACTGTACTGATTTTTACTCGACAAGTCTGAATTGGTCTGAAATTTACTTGATATTACTTAACAGTCTGAACTTGTACTAGACCTTTACTCGACCAGCACTTAACCATTGTATACGAATCGGAACCATACTAGGCATAGTGTTAACCATTCCCGACCTAGCCTAAACCATGCTCGACCTAGTCTGAACCATACTCGACCTAGTCTGAACCATACTCGACCTAGTCTGAATCATACTCGACCAAGTCTTAACCAACCTACACTTGTTTTTTGTATCTATCTATTTTATTTCATCAATTTAGGAACTGTTTTACATACATATATATGTGCAATGTATATCTCATTTAAAATAAAAATAAAATAAGGTGATCAAAGTAAGTAATTTCTGGTTGGATTAAAAAAATATCATGTAATAAATTAAGTTTAGTTAAATAAATTTTTATATACATGATATCATGTTCACATTTCTTTATGTACATCAAATATACTAGAACTTTCAACCATGATTCAAATATCTTAAATTTTATTGATATTGTTTTTTCAAAATGTATATAAAAAATTGAAAACAACACGTATAATAAAATAGTATATAAAGCATCTTAATAAATGTTAACATTGACATCTTTGTTTTGTAAAACCAAGAATTTAATATAATAATAATAAGACTTTCATAGCAATCCTTGATAACCTTTTAAAAAGGAAAAGTATTCCAATGTTGCAGTAGAAATTTATTTTCATTAAATCAAAATAAGTTTTGTCATACAAGAAGCACTTTAATAAGTTTTAATTACCTTAGTACAGGTGTGTTTTACAGGTAAAAAGAAAACCCTATTTTTCTTAAACTCGTGTATTACTTATCTATTGAATTCAAAAGGCATTTCAGTTTTACAGGATGTTGTAATCTTTAATGGATGTTATCTAAAATGTATTACTCTCTGACCATGCGTGATCTTTTTAATTAGTGTGACCCAAGCAGGATGTATTACTTTATAGTTTACCCTTAATCAGAAGAAAAAATGTATTCATTTCTTTAATTTTTTATTCCTTTTTAAAATATTTGTATATCCCAAATTATATTAAGAATAGATATAATTAATTTCTGATACAAGGTTTAACAATGTCAGTGATTTTGTTAGCTGTTGTTACCTCATTAAAAGATAGTTATATAACAATTGTATGTAACCATGAAACCTATGTAGTTTTTATTCAGGAATT